GCTTTGATGACATTAAAATTATCAAACATCATGGATTCCTTATGGTTCCGACAGAGGTAGATAACTTAATTTAATCATAATATGTAACGACCCATGTCTAAGATTCGAAGTCTGATCGTAATGCTCCAAGTTCACTGTTACTAGATCTTGTCCTCTTTAAGCAAGAATTGCGGGTCCCACATCGGTTGGAAGGGTAACAAGTGTCAGTGAGGACATTGGACCTCGAAGTGGGTGGATGGTGAGATCTCACGTCGATTGAAGAGATGAATGAGTGCTAGTGAGGACGCTGGACCCAAAGGAGGGTAGATTGAGTGTCCTTGGAGAAGGGAGCCAGTGTCAGCGAGGACATTGGGCCCTAAAGGGGGGTGGATTGTAGATCTCACATCGATTGGAGAGAGGAACGAGTACCAGTGAGGACGTTACGCCCGAAGAGGCGTACATTAGGGGGGTCTCACATCCATTGGAGAGGAGAACAAGTGACAGCGAGAACGCTAGCCCCGAAAGGGGGTGGATTGTGAGATCCCACATCTGTGACTTTCTTTATAAGAATGTGAAAAATCACTCCTTAGCACACGTATTTTAAAACCTTGAGAGAAAGTCTAAAGAGGACAATATTTGCTAGCGGTCAGCTTGGGGTGTTACACTGATGATCCCGGTATTCCCCTGTGATATTGACACGTACTTCTTACTTCTAAGAGTCGTAAAAAATCTCAAGAGATCATCTAACAAAGAATTGTTTCAAGTAAAACACGTTTAACAATGAAGTTCTTCGTATGAAATCTGACTAAGGACTATTGATGATGGTAAACTCCTTGGAAAAATAAAAATAAATACCATTTTTGTTCTTTAAGTTTGGAATATATTCTCTCATTAATAATACATTTTTTTAAAGATAAATAAAAACTAAATATTTAAAAATTAAAAAAAATAGATTTAAAAGTACAAATAAATTATTATTTATATTTATTTCGGTGGGGCAGTTAGTTATGGTTGTGGGCAGAAGAAACATACAAGTTGTGGCACTATTTCTAATATTATTTATTTATTATTATTATTTTTAATTTAAAAAACATAAAATTAATTTTTTAAAAAAAAAATTATATATATATATACACACACATTAAGTCTGAAAAAAACAATAATTTTGGATGAAAATAATAAATATTAAAAAAAATCAAAATAATTAATATTATATTTGAAAATTCATAAATATTTTTTAAACACGGTATTAACAATAAAAAGTATTTTTTTAATTTTTAAAAGATTGTTTTTGAATTTTTTAAAATTTTAAGATATCAAAGAAATTCGATTAAAAATTAAAATTTATATTTTTAAAATAAAATACTAATATTTTTTATTTTTTTAAAATTGATTTTTTTTTAAAGATATTTTGTTGGATAAAATAAAAAGTTGATGGATAATTTTATTTAATTTAGGTAAATATTTATTATTTAAAACATTTATGAATATTTAAGAGAGAAAATTAGAAATCTATAAGTGGTAAGGATTTAGCCTGAGGGTGAGGGTGCAATCCAACCGTACAACACCGCCGCCTGCACCGTCTGCCATTCCGCCGCTGTCCGCCTGCTGCTCTATTAATGCCCCCGTTTTTTTTTTCTTTCTTTTTTTAATTTTAATTTTATATATGAGATTTCAATTTATTTATTTTGTTTTTATTAATATTTTTTTTGGCTGATATTGTCGCTTTGACTCGTTATATATCGTTATAATCTCATGGTTTTAAAAAACGTCTACTAGGAAGGTGTTTACACACCTTTACAATACCTCACACAAATATTTACAAATATATATATATATATATATATTATTCGAATTTTTCAAAATTTTAAATAGTCACTCTAAAATTAAAAAAAAAACAAAACAAAACAAAAATACCATTTATCATTCATATGTCATTTTCCATAATTTAATTTACTGAGAAGGGAATTATGTCTTTATTTTTTAAAATATGGGACCATACCCTTATTTAATATAATATTATACTTCCATCCAATTCATTTATGGGAATTTATTATTTTTTTTTTCAAATTTTGAATTACCCTATTTTATCTTCTATCTTCATTTTTTAAAAAAACAAAAATAAAAATATTTGTAATATATATATATATATATATATACACACACTTATATATCGTCTCATAGGTGCTTTTGGCGTGATTTCATTGTAGTTTCTCATCATATCATTGAGGACATTCTCTAGTATGGCTTAGTCGGCATCTCTTTAGGGTATGTCCTATAAGGTCAATATCATTAAAGAGAGAGCGACTCTCGTATCTCCCAACGTTCATCTATCTATGTGATCACTTGCCCTAACCTGAACAACATCACAACCAAGGAATAGTCGGAGATCCTTTAATCACAACCACAAGGCACTCATATGGCTCTATGAGTTCATTCATCTCACGGCTAAATCCTATAAACCATATCGGCACGATGCAGACTCCTACCAATTTGGACAAATTCATTATTAGAGATTGAATGACGATCCCTTGACAGTCTCCAATTTGTACCATCGTAGTAAGATGCGACTCTAAAGTCAATATTAGCTACTAAAATACTATGCTGACACACGTCAATAGAGTCGAGTTTACAATTGGACAAGAGTTTATACAAATAAAATAAATGGGTCAACTTCCATAAGTCGACTGAAGTCACCCTCTATAGTCGCAATCAAGAAATTTTGGCTACAATTTCAACTTAAATTTCTTTCCTCCTTTTCCAGAAAAGCTCTAAAATAATGGATCTCCAAGACTCAAGCTCTTCCCCTTTTGAGAACGGACGCGTACACTCTAAGATTGAAATGACCATCATATTTGGCATGATGCACGATGGTCGTCGTAGCTCTGGGTGTCTGACTACAGCCCAGAGGAGCTAGCCCAACTAATAGGTCTAGGGGGTGTACAAACCCGCCTGTAGGGCCCATGCTCATACATGTAGATCATGGGTAAAGAAGTACTACACATCTAACTTGTCTAAATGAGTACGCCACCTAAGACAATAAGCTTTTAAACGATAGGTGTCATTCATGTTGCATGTGTTTGCATTTCCTGACTCCAACAGTAGGGCCACTTACTAAATATTTCTTAAAATATACGAGTGTTATTCTCTAAAGTCAAGACACCCATGTACGTTTGACGGCAACGTCGCATTAAAATCATGAAACCTACCTTAGGGTAGTTGCATTTTATTTTGTAGATTTTAGTTTAGTCTAAAATATCGTTTTAATCTTTTTCTTTGGTTTTATTTTATTTTACATTAAATATTTCTCGTTATTTTATGTTAAGACTGATTTAAATAGAAAATCAAGGTCGTTACAAAAACGATAAGATACAATATATTTTTTGTATTATGTAATGTATTATTATTATTATAAGGTATGCTTCAAATTATTCATAATGTATGTAAAATTTTATAACACATATTATATTGAATATATTAAAAAAGTAGCATACGAAAAATAAAAATAATGATTCATTATTTATTTAATTTATGTATTATAAGAAATAATTGAGGTTAATTAGTTAAAATTAGCTCAATAAAAACAAATTCATATCAAAATTTGAATTAATTATGCTAAATTCTAGAATCATCGTCATAAGAAACTCAATTTCAAAGCTTAATTAAGCCTTGAATTAAACGCTCCATAATGCTTCTAAATTATTAAGTCAACTATCTTTTATATCATCCAATAAAAGCGATGACGAACTCAATTTAATTTATAATTAAAATTAATTTTGAATCGACCCGAACATTCAATTAAATTTTTTTCTTTTTTTTTAGATTAAAAAACGTGTTGAACGAAAAATTTGAACTTATAAAATATATATATTTTTATTGATTGAACTATATTTAAAATTTCAATAAATTTTGAAATTATATTAAATAATTTTGTGGAATATAAATAAATAATAAAATTTATTAAGAAAAGAAAATAATTATTAGAAACTTTCCTTTTTAGATAACATAATAATATATATTAATTTAGATGAAAATTAGAAAACAAATTAAATCTTTAAATTTGAATAACCAATTAGGTTTAAGTTGACATTAAAATACGGAAAAAAGAAAATAAATAAATAAATAAATAAATAATAATAATATTTTGTAAATTTCGTGAAGCTTAATACCTAAGCTTCAGGTTGCTTTGGCTTGTCGAAGAAGATTACGGACGTTGACGGCCAGGGTAAATTTTCACATACGGCCAAGTCCACGGTAGTATCGGTTTTAGCAATTTCATCTACTCCTTACATTTAGTTGACTCGCCAAATTCCACATTTGACTTTGACTCAGTCTTCCACATTTTCTAGATCTTGTAGTTTTATTTTTTTAAGTTTTAAAATGTTTATTTAAAAAATTAAAAGAATTTTTCATTTCTCAATATAATTTTTATTAAAAAAAACATTAAAATATCATAATAAATTCAATAATATTTTTAATCACCTCGTAAGCTCAATAGACATCTTAAACGACCCCATTAAAGTTTTCAAATAAAGATTTGTAACGGCACAAACCCAGCAGATATTATCCTCTCTCGGCTTTCTCTTTCAAGCTTCCCTTGTAAGATAATACTTCAGGGTCTAACGTACTCGTTAGCACTACATCCATTGTCCACTCCTTTCAGGGCTTAGCATCTTCACTGACACACAGCCCAGTATCGAGATGTGATATCTTGTAAACGGCTCAAGCCCACCTCAAGATTTTGAGAACCCATCTATTGAAAAGAGGTTTATCATAATACGATTGTCGGGTATCTAGGTATCGACACGGGGAAAGAGGAAGAGGTGCATTATAAGCAAGAGCACATAGAGCAAAATCCCAAAGAGATAAGATATATGTATATATATGCCAAAATCTCACCAATCGTGTAGGTTAAGCTAAGGCAATAGTTTAGGCATCTTATTAATAATAATAATAACAATACCCTCTTCTTCCTTCTCTCTCTCCCTGCAACATTCTTATGATTACTCCATTTTTAAGCCCTCCATGAAAAAAGAAGGATTCCTTGCTTGAGCTGAGAAGTAGAGTCAAAGGAAGGGTTTTTAAGTTGGAATATACAAATTTCAATCTTCTATACCTTTAATCTCACTCCAACTTTGACGCTCGAGCTACCCGAACAACAACAACAAGAACAACAACAACAAGAACAAGAACAAGAACAGATTCAAACTTGACGTCCAAGCAAGCTTTTTTATGTGATCTTTTCTCCAATCATAACCTCCTTTTTGTTCTTATGTTCGAGTGTTCCCAAGCTGGTCCCAATAATGACTTGGTGTAGTGGCTCCGATGATGATGAGTCCTCTACTGCGCCGGCCCTGCGCTGCCCCTCATGTGGCCTTCATATTGAGTTACAAGACCAGGTTAGTGTTCTAATGATTATCGCTTCTATTGTGTTGCGTTGGATTGGTTCTTGAATGATTGGTGTTGGAATTCATGAAGGCTGGGATTCATGATCTGCCTGGACTACCTGCTGGGGTGAAGTTTGACCCCACGGATCAGGAAATTCTTGAGCATTTGCAGGCTAAGGCGGCTGTGTCTGATGCTCATAAGCTTCATCCTCTTATCGATGAGTTCATTCCTACTCTTGAAGGCGAGAACGGGATTTGTTATACTCACCCTCAAAAGCTTCCGGGTAATTGTTTCATAAACGTTTTGAAACTTTTTTGTAATCGAAAATTGTGTCTGGGAATTTGGTTTGGATGGTGCGTTTTATGTTCGATAGAGATGTCTATTTAAATCAGTCAAATATAGATCTTGAAAGAACTAAGTCCACTGCGAGTAGATATTGTCTTTGTTGAGGTTTCCCTTTTAGACTCTTCTTACATGTTTTTGAAACGCTTCTACTAGGGAGAGGTTTCCACACTCTTGTAAAGAAGGTTTTGTTCCTCTCTCCAACCGATGTGGGATCTCATAATTAACTCCGTCGGGCTCTGTGTCCACCTGTTACGGAGCTCAGCGTCCTCTCATTAGTACACTACCTGGTGTATTGTGAGATCCCATATCTGATGAAGAGGAGAACGAGACATTCTTTATAAATGTGTGGAAATCTCTCTCTAACAGCCTCATTTGGAGAGGAGACTTGAAAGGGACAATCCAAAAAGAACAATATTTGTTAGCGGTAGACTTTGCTGTGAAATGGGGGAGGGAACATAGAGTTTGTTTTTGATAGCTAAATGGAGTCGAGACCGAGAATTATGCTCCTTGTTCTCGTCCCCGTTCCTTATATATATTAAAATCGAGATGTAAAACCAAATATGTCTGATGTTATTAGAGCTTATGGTTGAGGATTTTTGGACGTGAGTCTCACTCATGAGTTTATAAGGGAGGAACACTATTTCCATTGGTACGAGGTCTTCAAAACAAAGTCATAAGAGCTTATACTCAGAGTTAACAATATCATATTATTGTGGAGAGTCGTGATTTCTAACACTTATTTCATGACAGGAGTGAGCAAAGACGGGCAAATCCGGCACTTCTTCCACCGACCGTCAAAGGCCTACACGACCGGGACAAGAAAACGCCGCAAAGTCCATACCGACGAGGAAGGCAACGAAACCCGTTGGCACAAAACCGGCAAAACCCGACCCGTAGTCGTCGGCGGCGTAGTCAAAGGCTTCAAGAAAATCCTCGTCCTCTATACAAACTACGGCCGCCAAAGAAAGCCGGAAAAAACCAACTGGGTCATGCACCAGTACCATCTCGGCACCAACGAGGAAGAGAAAGACGGCGAACTGGTCGTCTCTAAAGTTTTTTACCAAACTCAGCCTCGACAGTGCAACTCCTCCGCCACCGCCGCCGCCGCCGCCGCCGCCCTTCTCCAATCAGAAATAAAATACAAAAACTCCGCCGCCGCCAACCACCACTCCGATTCCACTGCCCATGTGGATTATTACAACGCTTCCAATTTCATTAGCTTCGACCACAACTCCGACAACCCACCTCAGTTATTGCCCAATTTAGTGCTTTCCGGCGAAGCGTCGTCCTTCCTCCGGTTCCCGCCGGCCGACACCACCAAAAGAAAGCTCGACATGAAACTCTGACATGTCCGTATAACAAATTTCACACAAAACAGATATTTTCTGAGCTCCAAGATTTGGTGGTTTGTTCTTTTCTTTCCCTTTTTTTTTCTTTTCTTTTGGGTAATAATTATAATTATTATAATTATTATATAACAATGAAATAAGTTATTAGATACATGTAGATTTGATGAAGAAAAAGAAAAGAACAATAAATAAATAAGCAATAATATAAAAGGTGGTTTACATTAATTTTCCATGAAAAAAGGGAAAATAAAAAAAGGATTAAATTTTTTTATTATTGATACTCTAATTTTGCTCTATTTTTTTTTTATTTACTTGCAATTTTAAATATTTGAGAATAAACAAATTAAATTATTTAAAAAAAAAAATTAAATCTGATGTTTTGATCAAGAGTTTATACCTAAATAAGTTTTTTTTTATTGATTTAAAAATGATTTTAATAATTAACATAATAGTATTTAAAATTTTATATAATTAAAAATATTAGGTTAAATTGTAATTTCATTTTACAATATTTAAGGGTTTAATTATACTTTATATAATTATTATTATTATTATTGTGAAAATTATGGAAAAAAAATTAAAAATAATTTGGTCATGTGAACTTTAATAATAATAATAATAATTATTATTATTGTTATTATTATTGAAACGAATAATTTATATGGGTTTTTTTTATAAAAATAAATCATTCAATTAAAGACCCATAAGTTACTTAAAATAATGTAAAAAGTGGACCGAAAACGTAGGAATAGCTTACTGGCAGACAGCCAATTACAATGGTTCATATCAATTTAAATTATTAAATACCTGAAAAATACTGTTTCATCTGCAAAATTATTTAATTTAAATCCCTCTTAAATAAATCAGCTTTTTATTTATTTATTTTGTATATATTTAAATATTACCATGAGAGTCTCAAACGTAACTAATTTAATTATTTAATATGGGTTGAAAATATATTTATATTAAATGGAGTTCGGCAGATAATATAATCTCATCCTCTATCTTATTTATTTAATGGGTAAAAAATATTTTTTTCACTCTGTTCTCAGATACAAGGGGAATCCTCGAAACCATTCTTATGGATAAAATAGACATTTTGAAATTTAAAAGGTCTAGTCGAGTAAGTGACGAAATATGTCAAAATTGATTAGACATGTGACTTCAAATGATTTTCATTTAAGACAGTGACTCAAAAATGTTGTTTGAGACTCATAAGATCTTATATTTATTTATACGAAAAATCATAACATTTTTTTTTCAATTATGTCATTTTTGTATTTTTTTTTAATATTTTTAAAAATTTTAAATTTAAAGATATTATTAAAATTAAAATTATATTTATTTATGGGTTTTTTTTTATTATTAATTTTGAAACATCTCAAATTAATCTACCTAAAAATTTAATATATATTATTATTTCCACTCTCACAAATCTCATATAAAGAAAACCCAAGTCGAAGGGAAAGGTTATTTACATTTATACCCTCCATAACTCCAATCAACAGGATTCTCAACCACTTTCAATAAAAGCAGCCCACAAGGGCAATTTCGTCATCCAAATATCCCATTAGCGATAAAAACTGCCAGTCCAGTTCCTGATTCGGCCGCGCTTGATTCCCCCATTTCCGCCGCTTCCGCCGTCCTCCTCCGCCAATTCAATTCCGCCGACCCTGAACTGACATGAATCAGCGCAACCCATACCCTCCTATTTCCCATTTTGCCCTCATCTTCCTCCTCCACCTCCCCCTCTCTTTCTCCAAATCGCCGCCGACCAACTCGTCGGTGTCGGCCCTTTTGGTGTTCGGCGACTCCACCGTCGACCCCGGCAACAATAACTTCGTCCCCACCATTTTCCGAAGCAATTTCCCTCCCTACGGCAGAGACTTCCCCTTCCATATCCCCACCGGAAGATTCTCTAATGGCCGCCTTAGCACAGATTTTATCGCTTCTTACTTCGGTGTCAAGGATTATGTTCCGCCGTATCTTGACCCATCGCTTACTGTCGACGATTTAATCACCGGCGTCAGTTTTGCCTCCGCCGGCTCCGGCTTCGACCCGCTCACTCCTAAAGTTGGGGTACGTACTACCCTACTTTAATACTGTTAGAAATCACTACACTCTACAATGGTATGATACTGTCGAAGCATAGGCTCCCAAAATATCTCTCTCAACAATGGTATGATATTGTCCACTTTTGAGCATACGCTATTGCGATTTTGTTTTGGGCTCTCCTAAAAGGTTCTTACTGATGAAGATGACCTTTCACAATGGTTTGATATGCTCCACTTTGAGCATAAATTCTCCTGGCTTTGTTTTGAGCTTTCCAAACTGCTCGTACCAATAGAGATTATTGGATTCCCTCCCAACCATCTTTCCATGAAACAAAGTACACCATAAGTGTGATGTCCCATATTGGTTGGAGAGGAGTACAAACCACCATTTATAAGGGTGTGGAAACCTTCTCCCAGCAGACGCGTTTTAAAGCCTTTGAGGAAAAGCCCAAAAAGGACCATATCTGCTAGCGGTGGATTTGGGCCCTTACAATAAGGCCCCTATGAAGCCCTCGAACAAAGTACATCCTTTGTTCGACAGTTACCTTAGGCCTATGAGCTCCCTAAATTCCCTTTATAAATAAGCAATAATCGAGATCTTTTGGGAAAGCCCAAAACAAAGGCACGAGGGCTTGTGCTGAACGTGGAGTATATCGTACCATTAACACGTACTCTACCGATTTGTGTTCGATAATAATGAATCGTTTTTGTTCAGAACGTGGTGCCAATTGACGCTCAAGTGGAGTATTTCAGAGAATATAAAGAGAGATTGGAGAGGGTAATGGGGAAGCAAAGAACAAAGAATCATATAAAAAATACAGTGTTTTTTATCAGTGCAGGAACCAATGATTTCGTTATCACTTACTTCAATTTACCACTTCGAAGAAAGACATTCACTCTCTCAGCTTACCAACACTTCATCATTCAACAAATCTCCCAATTTTTCCAGGTTCTTCTTCTTCTCTTCCTCATTTATATCTCTCTTTTTCGTCCTTCTCATTGTTCTTGCTCGTGTCGAGGAATTAGAGATGTATATGGGTTGGGTTAGAAAGATCTACTGAATTGATAACCTGGGTAGCTAGAATAAAGTTCACAATTCAACCCAACCCAACTCTAATTTGGTGACCCGAGTAACTCGGGTTGTTAGATGAACACGACTCTCTACTATGGTATGATATTGTCCACTTTGAGCATAATCTCTCGTGGCTTTGTCTTGGGAATGTTTTGGGATTCCCAAAAGGCATCATACCAATGCAGATAGCATTCATTGATCATAAACCCATGATCATTCCCTAAATTAGCTGACGTGGGACTTTCATCCAACACGGGTAACTCGAATAAAGTTCACAATCTAACCCAACCCAACCCGACCCGACCCGAAAAAAGAAAAAAGAAAAATCAGATGTGCTTAATAACTAAAGTCTCATAAATCTCAAATGTCAACATCACTAACATCTGTTATAAACGTGAAATATTCTTAATCTTTGTAATAATTTTAAAAGTAACGAAGGATATGATTGGATTGACTAAACCAAAAAAAGTCAACTTACAAAGGGACCCGCAATTTTTAACCTCTACGAATTATTAAATCGTATGAATTAAAACGAAATTTAATAGGAAAACTTTATAAAATAATAATAACAACAATAATTTTCAAAAAAGTAATACAGTAATAATAGTGTGGCCATGAGAGGGTAAAGTAAAGGGTCCTCTTTGTTGTCCACTTTAACATGAAATATTGATAATTTTAAACCAATAAATAGTATATAATAATGAAAAGGGGACAAAAGAAATAAAAAGGTCGGTTAAATTAATGTACCTGAGTCATATGAATAGATCTGAACGACCCAATTGTTATATACTAAAATTTAGGGACTAAATTGTCATTTTCATATAAGTTCAAAGGTCGAGAGTGTTTCTTGTTCAGATTTTTTCATTAAATTGTGATAGTACTACATGAGTTGTCTTTTACGCTGATTTGAAATTAATCACGTGAATTAGGTCACCACGAAAATTTATTACAGGATTACCAATTTGAGTATTTCCTTGGAATTTAGGGAACCTCCGTCCTCTGTCCTCCGTCCTGTTTAGTTAATTGAGAAAACCTCTCCCTACTTCCTCAATCGCTCCATGTTAGGAATCACGAGCCTCCACAATGATATGATATTGTCCACTTTGAGTATAACCTCTCATGGCTTTGCTTTTGGCTCGTATCAATGAAGATGTATTCCTTGCTTATTAACACATGATCAACCCCATAATTAGCCGATGTAGGACTCCTTTTCCAACAATGCTCAGGTGAGTCCCTGCGAATTTAGTACTTTCAGATTAAGTAAACGTTTTCAGCGAGTAGCTGAATTGTTATAAAGGAGGTAGCTTGAGTAAGTCATCATCAATAAAATCTCCGTCTTTGACCTCGTTTAGCTAACGAGGAAATATCTCTTACTACTTCCTCTCCTATTCTCTATTGGAACGAGAAGTTGCCATTCTAAGCAAAATGGAACCTTACGGACTCTTTTATAAGTTAAATAGATATTTCTAGCAACAGAGCCGCTCGAGTAGGTATGCATAAATGTGAGGGTGGATGAAAATTTGAATATGATTGGCCAACCAATACCAAGCCACTTTCAATTCAACCTGCTGGCTCGAACAACAATAACTACCCCTTCCCTCTTTCTCATTTATTGCCATTTATTATTGACATTAAATTGTAGGGTCCACTCTTTTACATATTTAATATAAGGGTACTTCTGTAAATAACCAACCATCTATATTTATCTTTTACCTTTATCCAACACTTTTACCCATTCCATATTTAACCGTTAAATTTTGGCTGATTTAGTAAAAACTATTCATAAATTTTGTACTTTTTTTTTTTCAAAATATTCTATATATATATATATAAACTCTAAACTTTAAAATGCTTGAATGGTATTTTAAATTTTTTTTAAAAAAAAAATTCAAATTATTAATATTTTATTTAAAAACCATCTTTGGAACTTTAAAAAAATATCATTAATGTGTTTAATTTTTTTTAAAAAAGTTTAAAAATATCTTTATTATTAGTATCGCGTTAAAATTATATTAAAAGTCAGTCTATATTTAATAAATTATTTCTAAATTTTTAATTACGTGAATATTAATTGTGAAAATTTGTGGGTATTTTTGGTACTATACTGACAATAAAAATTTTGTGTGTGTTTAATTTTTTTAAAAATATTAAAAATGTTCATAAAGTTATTTTTTATAAGTTTAAATGTATTTTAAAATTTAAAAATATCTTTGGAACGTATATAAGTTAAAAGGGTATTTTTTAAACTTTAATTTTTTTAATTTTTTTAATTTTTTTAATGGAAGAATATTATTTTTTAAGTTAAATGTTTTTTTTTTTTAATGTTTTCTTAGGCCTTGTGGGCCGAAGGAGCAAGAAGATTCGTGATGCCGGGGCTAGCGCCGCTGGGTTGCTTGCCGGTGGTGATAACGCTATACTCCAGCAACGCCTTCCTCCATCGCGGCTGCATCGACCGCTACTCCGCCGCCGCCAGAGACTTCAACGCTCTCCTCCAAGCCGAACTCCTCTCTTTACAGACTCGTCTCTCTAAGAAATCCCCCACTTTCATCGGCTACATCAACACCTACGATTTCGTCGTCGACATTATCCAAAACGTCGGAAAATCAGGTCAGCCTTCTTCCTTTACACATACATCCTTTCTCTTCATAAAATTGAACCGATAGATCAACCAATACATGCGACGGAGTTCTGAAGGTCGATTGAAATCGATGCGGCGGTTTTTGATTTCTAGGGTTCGAAAAAGTGGACGTCGGGTGCTGCGGGAGTGGATTACTGGAGATGTCGCTGTTTTGTAATTACAAATCGCCGGTGTGCCTGGATGCCAGTCGGTATCTGTTTTTTGACGCGATTCATCCGACGGAGAAGGCGTATTACAACCTCTTCCGGGCCGGCATCCCGGTGTTTGATTATATCACCAGAGACTTGCGTTGAATTTTCTTATAGCATTTACCATTCTATTTTTTTTTATATATATATAAAAAACATATTATATTACAGATAACTAATAGAAAATCAATAAGTGAATAATTGACTTATATATAACATTTATTTATTTAAGAGTTTAATTAATTAATTTTATAATTTGTAGCTCAAGAAATAATCAATTTCCAACGTTTAGTGTATCATATATATTAAATTGAAGTTATTTCCTTTTATCATCGACAATCTGCTTCGGTATGTCGCTCCCCGAGAAAGGAGTGCATGCACGAATCGAGCAAAAACAAAGCCAATTATTCATTTCTTAAGCCAATTGATGGCTATTGTGAGTCCTCTAATTGTCAAACGTTAATTGTCAAACGTTTGATTGAACTGATTAAGTTGCCTAAGTGATCGGAGACATCATCGGAATTTGATATTGTAAAGGGAGTGAATCACCATACAACATGAGAGACACATCCAATATGAGGATATAAGCATCTCCGCCAACATCCCATCAAGTAAATCTTCAGCTTGTAAGCCGAAATAACAGCCAAATCTTAAATTGTCGAATCAAAAAGAATGGCTCACTGAATCTATCTCCAATTAGAACGATTTATTCTTTTCTCGTGAGGTCAATAATTCAAAAAGAAAGAACAGTGACCGTCCAAGTCCAAGTCCACGCTAGTAGATATTGTAGTCTTTGGGCTTTATCTTTCAGGCTTCTTTGCAAGGTTTTTAAAACGTTGTTTGTTAGGGAGAGTTTTTCCCACCCTTATAAAAGAATGTTTCATTCCTTGTTTGCTAGGGAGAGTTTTACCCACCCTTGTGAAAGAAGGTTTCATTATGAGGTTTCTACACCATTGTAAAAGAATGTTTCATTATGAGGTTTCTACACAAAGAACATTTTGTTCCCCTCTCCAATCCATGTGGGATCTCATAATCCACCCCTTTGAGGCCCAGCGTTCTCACTGGCGCTCGTTCCTCTATCCAATTGATGTGGGATCTTTAGAGCCCAGCATCCTTGTTGGCACTCGTTCCTCTCTTCAATCGATGTGAGATCTCACAATCCACTCCCCCCCCCCTTCGGGCCCAACGTCCTCGCTGACACACTACCCGGTGTCTGCTCTAATACCATTCATAACAACCCAAGTCCCACCGCCAACAGATATTGTCTTTTTGGAGCTTTCCTTGTCAGGTTTCCCCTCTAAATTTTTCAAACGCATCGGTTAAGGAGAAGTTTCCACACCCTTACAAAAAAGATGCTTTGTTCCCCTGCCTAATACGGAGAGGTTTTCACACCTTGATAAAGAAGGTTGCGTTGGGATCTCACAAAGCATCTATGGAAAAAGTTTATAAGAGCATTTGGCAAGAAAGGAATAGAATAGTATAGTTTCCAAGGAATAATCTAGTAGTTTTTTTGATGCTATACTTAACATGGTTGTAACTTGGAGTAAATGTTCATTCAACTGTATTACAGAAATGAAAGTTAATGAAAATCACTGTCATATTACTACCTCCCTAACACCCTGCAGCAGGCAAGCAAGCTCCTAAGTTAGTTGATTACCTTACTTGGAGGGTTTGGAGTCAATCTGCATTGTGACAGGCCCATCATTCACCAAATTGACCTTCTCAAACATCAGTGACAAAAATATAAGAACTGATCAATCTAATAACTATCATAATCACTTGGGACTCTAAAGAGCATAATGAGATTACCTTCATCTTTGCTCCAAACACTCCATCTGCCCACAAGAAAAGGGAACAAAGACAAGATTCAGTATACTCATTGTTCTATTCATTGAACCCATTCCAATTCTGAAGAGAAATCAAAGCTGGAATTTGGGAAAGAATGAAGCATAGATTACCTTTAATGGCATCTGGTTTGTAGGATTTTCCAAACCTCTCAACTACAGAAGCATAGAAGGGCTTAGCAGTTTGTGGAGGCATTGCCACATGAAAGTCCGGCTTATTGCCCTTCAATATTCCATAGAGTGTAAACTGACTAACTGGTTTCAATCCACCAAGAGCAATTTCATTAGTGGATTGTATCTAATTCACTTTCTAGCTACGATTTCTCAGCAGAAAACTAAACCATTAAACTTCTCTGTAATTCAAGGGGAATTCCCCTTCACTTACCTAGTAGAACCTCGTAGTTCTTCTGCATTACCTGCAAAAATTTATCAAGGAAAATGGTAAAACCTAATCCCAAAAGCCGTATTCTTACAAGTTCTTCAAAGATTCAAACAATCAAACGAAACAACAGTGGTAGATCACTCCTAGTCGGTATTAATCGGATTGAAATGGACGAAAAGAGAGTATATATGATTACATTCAAGTCCCAAGCCTTGGAGGTACTCTCATTTGGGAACAATCTCATATTCAGGACCTTACGGCATCTGAAACCAAATTAAAAAAGAAGTAGGTTCGTGATAAGAACAAGTTTGAATTGAGCATAGAATGAGTATTATAGGCACAGAAGAGTACATGTATTCGGCGTCGGAATCGGTGTCGGAGTCATGAACGCCGACGAGCACGAGAAGGCCCGGCCCGATCTCCGAAACGGTGCGCCCATCGACCTGCGAAAAGCAGTATCTCACACCGGCGATTTAGAGAATCAACGAGAGATAGAGAGCGAGAGAGAGGAGAAAGGTGACCTCGACGCTTGCAGAGGCGACTCTCTGAACCACAGCTCTCATGGATCTGAGCGGCTGCGTTCTGGTGCTGCTGAACTGTGTAGTTCGCTTGGCGACTACGCCGGCTGCGAACAATGGCTGGTTCGCTACGCTTTTTTTTTCTTTTTCTATTATTCTTTTCTTTTTCGGAATTTTGTTAAATGGTTAAAAATATACTAAATTAATAAAAATATCCATAAAACTTGTACTTTTTAAATTTGTTAATAAATAAATAAATAAATCTAAATATTTAAAAATTCAATAATATCAAAATTGAATTTTGGACAAAACTGTCCTCATTCTTAATATCCTTCGAATTTTTAAAAAGTTAAAAATTACTTTTACTATTATTTTTAAAAATAATCTTTATAAAAAAAATAATTAATTTTTTTTTATTATCGTCAAACTTTTATTTATTTATTTATTTTTGCTAAAATTATAAGAACATTAATGTTACTTTTAAAAGTTCAGGAATGTTTTAAAATGTGTTACTAATAGTTTTGTTCATATAAACCGTACTTTTTGAATTTTTTTTAAAGTAAAGATATAATTGAAGTTTTTTGAAAAGTTTAAAATTGTTTTTGAAATTTTTTTAAAAAATTAAAAGTCAATTAAACTTTTGAAAGTTCGAAAGTATAAATACCTTTTAAAAATTAAAAGTGTAAATAAAATATTAACCCTTTCCGGAGTGTTTTTTTAATTAATTATTTATTTATTTATAGGTGTAAGAGTATTTTTAAACATTTTTTTAAAATTTTTTTAACAAATGTATTTTAGAGGAATTATTGAGATTAATAATTATTTTATATTAATTTAGTATTTAAAATATTATTTTAGCTCCATTTTTTTTTCGGTTCATTTTATTTTGATATCATGTGAATATATTTAAATTTTATATAGGAAAAAGTCTAAATAATTTCATTGAAAATTTTAAATTATGTCTAATAAAATAGATTTTTTTTAGTTGAATTGAGCTGAAAATTAATTTCTGAAAATTACTATAAAGCTGAGCTGGAAAAACAGAAATTTCTCCCATGTATTGCTAAAATTAAAATAATAATAAAAAAAAAACCAATAAAAAGGGATTATTTTCAAAGATGCCATCATCAAGTCGTCAATCAACTCTGATGAACGCTACAATCCGTCCGTCGCTCTCCATGTCGTCGCCCCCTCTTCACTCCGATCGACCCCATTTTGTCCATCGCCGCCGCGAAAGCTTGAAAAAACTTCTGCTTATCTTTCGCCAAGCTCTGCACCATCGTCTTCATCCTCGCATCCGATACCAGAGCTTGATCCGTAGCCAACAGCCCTAGTTTACTTTCCAAATTCCCGTAGTACGCGTGGTCGAACACAAACGGTGTCGTTACATCGAACGGCGCCACTATATCCGTATTTCCACCGTACCTAGGGCACGACATTTTAAGCTCCTTGAGTAGTCTCCCGTCGATCGCCGGATCCGGTTTTTTCGTGCCTCTGTAGTCGTAGAGACGGTTTGTGAAATGCTCGCAGTGCGCAAATCCGATCGTGTGCGCACCGGAGAGCACAACGAGGTCATCGCTTGATAGACCTTTGGAATTGAAGAGTTTGAGAAGCTGATCAACGGTGGAGTTTGCTTGCGGCAGATTGGAACCTACTCTGGCCGCCATTGATATCTTCCCGTCCCATCGTCCCTTCTTCACCTGGTAATACGGTCCTCCTGCCTGCAATTTTCAATAATTCAGAAATTATTTTATTACATGAAAATGTTAGGACTGAAATTACTTTTTCACCCCTAGACAACAAATGCTGACAGGCCTCATAAATGGAGATAAATTAACAGAAACTAATTTAAATTCGTTCATGCTGTCTTCCATGTACAACGCAAACACATTGATGATTATTAACTAAAGCATCATAGAAAAGAGGAATACAAGATTAAATAATGGAGGTTAGCAAAGGACAAATTAGTAGTAAACCGATATTGTAGATGAAAATTTAAAAAGTTAATCACATGGAACTTTGATCCATTGCTTTGGTTTTTGCTTATTTTGATTTGGATCTATTGTTCGCCTAGTTGCAATTTCAATAACAGTAGCCAATTTTATTTCTATTGATGTTCTATTGAATATAATTATATAACCATCTAAGTTTTTGATTTTATGTATGATTTTCATAAACTGGGGCTGTGTCAGAATCTGACTATAGAGAAATGGATTTCATATGAGCTGGAAAATGGGGAAGCTGAAAAGACAAATTTTTATCTACATTTTGAGGCTGTGGACAAGTATTGGATCCCCATTAATAAACATTTACAGGCCAATAATAAACAGAAGCATCTCCTTGTCATTTTGGATTCTTCTATGCCCAGGTTTTCTAATCAAACAATGGAGAAAATGGCAAAAGTGGAAGGAAAATTTTCTAGGATTTTGGGAATTCATTATGATACTGTTGAATATGTGTTTTCTTTTCCCTTGATGTAACCCATCTTTCACTTTTTTTAAGCAGAATGGTTACAATGCAAATCCAATGTCAAATTATTGTTCCAACTTTTAAACACCATTCATTGGCTTTTGCTTAAAATTTTCTATGTTTATGCAGAAAAATGACCAGATTTCTTTGAATCAAGAGAAGGGCTCTAACCAAATGGACAAAATCTCTGGCTGCAATTGCGAGGATGTCAGCACAAGACACAACGCCAGGGCACTTGCTCTCAACCAACGCCTTGGCCTTCTTGATGCTTTCAAACCCCTCCGGTCTCAGCCCCTTGTTGTCCGCTGCATCCTTCTCCGCTGCCACTTTGCTGCCAGGCTTCGTCGATATCAGAATCGACCCATCACAGCCCTGCCATTTTCAAGAGCTTCTCAACATTTTTCAAACACAACCAGGTAATTGAAATTGATTGCAGAATGCATGCAGTATAAAAGTGTATGATTCTATATGTGGGGTAATGGGGTTCCAATTTTTCTTACTTCTACAAAGCAATCATGAAAGAACAGGCGGAGTGTTGCTGGAGCTGAGACTGGTGCGTCTCTGAACTGTTGAGTGGTGATTGAGGAGACGAGTTGCTCGAGGTGAGGGCATGTTTTGGTGTAGTAGTCGACAGAGAGGAGGCGGTGGCGGCGGGCGGGGGCCTTTTTAGGTGCTGGTGTTGCAGCACACTCTGATGGTGTGATGAAAATGAGAAGCAGAGTGAGAAAACAGAGGGGAGAGAGAGGGGAAGAAGAAGAAGATAAAGAAGAGACAGGCATGACTGAGTGTGAGAGTGAAGGAAGGGGCACCTTAGGACAAAGAAGGAATAGTGTAAAGAAGAATATAAAAGGGGAAGACCCCAGGAGTTGAAGTTGTTGGAGGACAGATTGCTGTGAAGAAAAAAGGGGAGAATCAAGACCCGTGAAACCCAATTCTTATGGCAAAAAGCTAGAGAGAGAAACGGCCAACAGGCCAATAAAAAAGCTGGTGAGAGAGAGAGAGAGAGAAAAATATTTTAATATAATTATATGATATTATATTGTTTCTAGGTACTGGGGAGTACTGGTACCGAAAATTATATTTTGTGTTTGATTATGATATTGTAGGTGGGTCTGGGAGTCAAATGAAGACCATTCAGTAGCATCTAGAGGGCACCAATTTGGTACCAGAATCTCATTTTCACCTCTCATTTATAGGCATAAAATATATAGCAAATAATCAATTATAGGAACAAGAACAGGGGATTGGCTTATTGTCTAATTTAATAGAAGGAAATTGCTAAATCTTGCCAATATTTATCCTTATTTCATTACTGCAGTTAATACCTGTTCTGTGTTTGTAATTTTTTTCTGGTGAATACCTTTTATTACTAAAATCTGTATGTACTTTAAATCGTTGCATTTATCTTTGCAGTTTGGTATAAAATTTGGCAGCCACTGAAAACAATGAAATAAATTGAAGGCTGATAAAAGCTGATAGAGAGAGAGCGTGGTGGACAGAAGGGCGTGTAATAAGCCAAGCCAAGCCAAGCATGAGTAATGAACTTCATAAATGCAAGGCATGTGCTACCACAGGTGCCTCACTCACTTCTCTTCACCCCATTTTTCCTACTCATATCAATGTCACCCACCATTTTTCATCCCCCACTTTAGTGTCAAATTGAAACAACCGTCCATCATATTTCTATGCTGATACGGTCATATTTACTTTATTCCATGTGCATAAAGATGTCGTTTCTATTTGTATATTCAGTACTTTCTCTACTTTTAACTGACTTGAGGCCATACCTGATATGAACTAAGTATGAAGTGAAGGAGACGCGAATATATTTGGATGTTGGTTAGAATGTGGAGTAAATATTGGGTGAGGACAATATGTTTATTGGTTTCATTGAGACTTTCGTTTGAGTTCAGCCCTAAAATTAACAACTAATTCATCTGTCTAAGAATTTGTGAGATGTTACATCGATTGAAGAGAGAAACGAGTGCTAGCAAGGACACTGGGCCTTGAAGAGGGTGGATTGTAAGATCCCACATCAGTTGGGGAGGAGAACGAAGCATTCTCTATAAGGGTGTGGAAACCTCTCCGTAGTAGATACATTTTAAAAACTTTGAGGGAAAGTTCGAAAGGGAAAGCTCAATTGGATCGAAATAAATCACCTAGGGAAAGGACAATATCTACTAACGATCAGCTTGAAGCGTTACAGAGCTCCTTAATAACCTTATGATGTTCGCGCTAACTCGAGTTAAGTGTAGAAGGAGAAAAATTACCTGACATTCACTGGCATCCATTCAATTGGATTGAAATAGATCACTACAGATAATCGCAGCCTGGTGGGTGGAGAATATTTTTTCTTGTTTTACATTTGTGGAAAAGGCTGAAGAGGTGATGCTAGTGAAACTTAATAGCTGAAAGGACCATTTGTCTCTCTCACTCCCTCATTCCTCGTGGCCTTTTGAATTGGTACCACAAAATTTATGGATCTGTAAAAGCAGTAATGAAAGCAACTCAGAACAAAAGGTCAGTGTTTTTTCCCAGTGGCAAAGCACTTGATATAATAATGTTACAATAAATAACCTTTTGGATTATTAATTGGTTGATGAGGGGCCACTTTTGCTTTGGCTTTGGCTTGCCAGTCATCACTAAACATCGGGTCCCTGGAAACATATCAGAACCATCGGTACAATCTAATAATTGTTTCATACCTAACAAAATTCTAACTTTTAAAACTAATTTTAACTTCTTTTGCATTTTATATTTTAAGTTTTAAATTCGGTGTATTTTATTTTTATTTTCTATTGAGTTTATTAACAATTTACTTTGTGACTCATTCTTCTGATTGAGCGTTTTTTCCGACGTTGATCAATTTATTACAGGTACTCTCTAGTTGTAGCACAGGGCTAAATCAGCTGCAGGAGGATTATACTAACCTACCGCCAGTGACTTTCTCAAGGCTCCGTATGAGAAGAATTAAGGTATGGGAAAAATTTGTAATGAAGCGAAATCCCTCTTTCTTTATGGTGTTGGTCGTCCCCTTCTTCATTCGTCCATTTAGGTTCTTCATTCATCCATTTAGGTTCTCCATTTCTTGATATAACTGTAACGGTCCAAATCTACCGCTAGCCGATATTGTTCTTTTTGGGCTTTCCCTTTCAGGTTTCCCCTCAAGGCTTTAAAACGCATTTTCTAGGGGAAGGTTTCCACACCCTTATAAATGGTGTTTTGTTCTCCTCCCCAACCAATGTGGGACATCACAATAACTATTCCAACAAAGTAATCTTATGTAGTATCAGCAAGAGCCCTTTAACCCGACTTCCGCACTAGAACAAACAAATAATGTCTCTCTTTTTGAGAGACACCGAAAAAAAGCAAAAGCCAATAGTGGAACACCTTCATCGAGATTAGTTGGACACTAATTACCATTTCAAGAGTCAATAGTCCAATATTATGATCAAGAGCCCTTTAACCCGGCTTCTGCACTAGAACAAACAAATAATGTCTCTCTTTTTTAGAGACACCGAAAAAAAAGCAAAAACCAGTAGTGGAGCACCTTCATCAAGATTAGTTAGACACTAATTATCATTTCAAGAATCGATAGTTCAATATTATGATGATTTTTTTAGGAGAAAATGGTTTGAATAGTGAAATGGTAGCACTTGTAAGTGGCAGACATATTCAGCATCAGCTTTCCATAGTGGCAACAGAATTGAGGACAAAATATGAAACAAAGAATCCAGTACTTGCAGAAGGGATAAATCCAACATTTGCATATTTCACAATAGGATTTAATCACATTATACTATGATTATTCATTAAACAACATTAAATTCTGCTGTTATGTTTTTTTGTCAGTCTTTGTGTTCTTAGTCTGCAGTCATTCCACTGAAAACCGTTTGAGTACTTTGATGCTTCAAAAGTCAGAATTGCTTAGTTTCAAAGATTTAAAGTTTGGAAGAACATGGGGAAGAGTGGCACAGCCGTTCATGAGATTCCCCACCCCAATTAAAATATTTCCCATCAAAGTTAGAGGACTCAGCTTCATCTACTTCAATGTAAAGCTACAAAGTAAAAAGTTTGTAGGGTTGTTTCTTGAGGATAATAATTAATAGATGTAATTAGCTAGATGGGCACTACTTTATTTTAAGTTGATCTGCTTGAGATATATATCAGTTAGGGGTGTACATTCAACCCGACATTCTGATAACTCGGATCAATCCAACTTAAACTATAAGAGTTGGATTGGGTTGGTTGGATTAACATTTTGGATAGGGTTGGGTTCATTTTTCAGAACTCGAACTGAATCGATTTTGGGTTCGTGGACAAAACCTTCGAGTTGACCCTAACGAGACAAATAAAAATATATAAAATATATTAAGAATGAATTTGACTGTATGTAAGAATACATGTTTCTTGTTTTTATTATGGAATACATTTTTTTTATTTTGTTATTTTTTTAGGCTTTTTTAATTTCTTTTATATTATTATATTATTTTATTATTAATACACTTCGTACTATTTTTAAATAACTATTCACATTTAAATATATGATTATGGATCACCTTCTTACTTAAACGGAAAGCTCTCAAGGGGAAAGAGTGTCCTCCCGGCTAAGGAGGAATGAATGAAAAGCCCCACTACGAATGTCCACGAGATAAAAAGGGAAATGCAAGACTGGAGTCCCTCCAACGCCAGAGCAAAGGAATCGATTTCATCCCTCTCTACTAAAGCCAAGTCTGACTTCTGTCCCGTATATGCCTTGCTGACTTTTGTCCTACCCGAGCTTCTCGCAATTGGAATAGGATAGAGTGTCAAAGGAGCGGTCAATTGCAGGTTAGAAAGAAGGGTTTATTAATTATGATTTATACCTTCTTTCATTTATTTGGAAGCAAATGTACTTACAAATAAATAAGCATATTTTAATTAAAATATTTAAATATATTTTAAATAAGCATATTTCAATTAAAATATATTTATATTTTTTTTTATTTTTGTTATATATAATATCTTTAAATTAATCATTTTTATTGTTTATTTAATTTCATTATCTATCTTATATTATTTTAATAGGAAGAAATATACTTTTTCTATTTCAATCCATTCTCAAGAAATATACTTATCTATTTCAACCAATTTTCAAGAAATATACTTTTCTACTTCAACAAATTCTCAAGAAATATCGGACAATGACGTTGAACTATGTTAATATTTTTTTATTGATTTTTTTTTTGTGAATAATTATATATTAATGTGTTTATTTGTGAACTTTTAATATATTTCATTAAAATTGAATCGGAATAATTATATTTTGTGGATAAATAAAACTTAAAAAAAAATTTGACAACTCAACTCAGACCCAACTCAAACTCATGGGTTGGGTTGTGAAAAGTTTCGGGTTGGGTTGGGGTTGGGTTACCAATTCAACCCACCCGAACTTTTGGGTTGGGTCAAAAAAATCCCTTAACCTAACCCAACTTGGACTATGTACACCTCAATAATCCCTCAACCCAACCCAATCCGAACCATGTACACCCCAATATCCGTTGAGTTAGGTTTACTTTGACAAAACATTAATATTTTAAATATATGTTCAAATCTTCTTCTTTTTTACCATTTTTATTGAGAAAGTGTGACAACCGAGTAAAGGAGAAACATATGAATAAGGAGACTAAATCTAAATGAGAGTGATCATGAGAATATGATGATTAAGAAATACTTCAAAGAATTGAAAGTTACTATCTTATATCAACAATATGCATAATCCTTTTTGATAGCTCAATCGTAAGAGCTCTGTGTTAGGTTATGGAGCTTGATATCTTCGTAGTTTCTAATATAAAATTTTATCTATTCTCCTATTTAATTTTTAAAATAAATGATTTTATCGGTAACTATTTGTAACTTTTTTAGAAATCGTGGGAATAAACGCTAATATCGGGGAGCCCATTCCATGAGCCAAACGCGCCGAAGTTGCTCGATTCGGTTCTCGATGGGCCTTTCTCCTTCAGATTCAACCGCCCATTTGAGTCCAACTGCTCAAGCATTCAGCTCAAGCATTCAGCTCAACTTCAGTAGTTTGGACGGAGAGGCTGTACTGAGCAGCGGCAAGTGAAAAGAATGGCGCAATTCTGGAAACCGGGCGCCGAGAAGCCCCGTCTGCTCGACGACGGAGAGGGTGGCGTTCTGTTCTTTTCTTCTTCTTACTCTTCTTCATCTGGGTATGTTCATGTTCTTCTTTCTCTTTCAGTGACAATAGCTTAAGCATCAGATTTCTATTCATTTCCCCTTTTACAAGTTTTTGACTCCGTGGAATAGATTTGGGTTTTCGAGCATTGAAAAGCAGCGGCAGAGGCTTCCTGTTTATAAATATCGCTCCGCCATTCTGTATTTAGTGGAAACTCATGCCACTACTATCATTGTTGGCGAGACGGGTAGCGGCAAAACCACTCAAATTCCTCAGGTGAGCTCCATATCCCTTCATGTTTTGAGGAAAAGATAGATTCTGGATCCCACAATGGTATGATATTGTCCATTTTTAGCATAAGCTCTGGTGATTTTGCTTTTTCAAAGGCCTTAATGGAGATGTATTTCTTACCTATGAACCCATGATCATTCCCTAAATTAGCCATAGAGCCTCCCTTGCGGTCTATGTAACCCTCGAACAGTTTTCCCTTAATCGAGGCTCGACTCCTTTCTTTAGAGCTCTTGAACCAAGTACACCCTTTGTTTGACACATGAGTCACTTTTAATTACATCTTCGAGATTAGTAATTTCTTTGTTCGACATTTGAGGATTCTATTGACATGGCTAAATTAAGGGTTTGCTTTTGAATTCTCCAAAAGGCCTCGTACCAATGAAAATGTATTCCTTACTTATAAACCCACGATCAATCCATTAATTAATTAGCCAACGCAGGACTCTCTCCACTAATTGAATTTTGGTATCTTCACTATTTATTTTGTTAATTTTGTTATATAACGTTTTATGCGAGGAGCAGTACCTCAAAGAAGCAGGTTGGGCTGATGGTGGTCGAGTAATTGCCTGCACCCAACCAAGACGACTGGCTGTTCAGGTGCATTACTAGCTTTCCTATGCAATTTTTGCTCTATATTACTATCAGTTGCCATAATGTTGTTCTTGTGGTTGCTATTGCTCGTAGCTTACTGCACTCGTCTTTAGTGGAGGAAAATTTTGGCCCACTTGTTTTTGAGCAGATTATAAATTTTTGGTGCGAATTATGACAAGGTTCATTTTGATGAGTTTACACTTAAAATTCTTGTTAGCAAGAATGTCATATGAAAATATAAAATGTTTTTATTCATTTCATGACAGGGAATAGGATTCACTTGAGATGTTACGTAAATTAATTGGATTGCTTCTAATCTTTTTCACTTTCGAATTTTTTCTACCTCATTTTCTTCTTGGATTGTAATCATCATAACCAATGAATAACATTGAATGTAACATACTTAGGACATAATCGTGTTATAATTTGCTTCTTTGGCGGAGAAGAATCAAATATAACAAGCTTTCTACCAATTTAAGTTTGATATGAATTTTGTCCTTTCTACTATAATTATACTTGAACATGCTACTGTTTTGTTGGGGTTGCAGTATTTTGTTTTATGTAAGTTTGCGTAAAAGGACATGGATCATGTATTATGGAGTACCGAAGTTGTTATTTTGTGTACTTGAATTAGGATAGTTTTTGTTTGGAGCTGTACCTACACTTTTGGGACAAGCGAGGGAACCTTTGACGTGCAATTGTTTTTTTGTTATTTGTTGGAACATTTGACTTGAGAGACGTGAGAATTTTAGAGGGCTAATTTCGTACGTGAGGGTTATTTCTTTGTTTCGTCCCGTCATTAATAACTTGATTATTTTGAATCCACTGCTTTGATTTTGGTACCAACAATTAGAACTTGCTATAATTTGATGTGAAAGACATCTAGTGTTCAAAACGAATTGTCAAGCCCTGGTAAGGTTCTTCGCCTTGCATCGAATTAAACCACATGCTACACCATTTGTGCGGGCCCCCGTGAATTCCTTTGAGTTTCATACTTGTGAACATATCCCCCGGGCTTGGGCTATGGCTATGTTCCATGCCTTTTTTGGGGTCGGATTTTAAAATTTTTTGTGGTTCACTTTGTTTTTTATTCTCATCAACTGAACCTCTGTTTGTAATTTATTGGTTGTTTCCTGTACAAGCTCCTTTTTGTAGTAGGTATTTTTATATAACTCATTTTTGTTTTCTCATCTATCTTAATGAAATCAAGATTTCATTTATATATATATATATATAACGGATGATCATTGAGCTTTTTTTCTTTCTTAATTGCACAGGCAGTTGCTTCTAGGGTGGCTGAAGAGATGGGTGTTAAGCTTGGTGAAGAAGTTGGTTATACAATTCGATTTGAAGATCTTACAAACCCAGTAAGGCCTTTTCTTCTTTACAGCTCAATCTCTCTAATCTTATCTCTCAATGCAAAATAAATATTTGCAGATGTAATTTTCTATTTTGGCAGCACAGGATGTGACGAGGGTGAAATTTCTCACAGATGGTGTGTTACTCAGAGAGATGATGGACGATCCGCTTTTGACTAAGTATAGGTATTGAGTGTTGAAACTTTTGTAGTATAGTCTCACTGTTGAATATATATTTTTTAATATCTCGTTTTTCTAAGACATTATTTTATTGGTTTCTCTAGCTTCCAATTAGAATTGGATAGTCTTTTTTCCATGTCTGTTAAATATTTCTCTTGGTCATTCACATGAACTTTTTAAGTTTACAAAAGAGAGGTTGTTGTTGATCTGTATTTTTTTGGGAACAGTTCGTATCATATCATGCTATGCTTGCAATTTTTAATAAAAAAAATTAAAATAATTTCATTTGACCATTTTAGTGTAATAATGGTGGATGAAGCACACGAAAGGTCTATCTCGACTGACATGTTACTTGGTCTCTTGAAAAAGGTACAAAAATCCTTGATCCGGACCCAGTATGTCCTTTCAATAACTTGACAGTTTATGCATTCTCTAATGTGGCTGATTGCTTGAAATTCAGATCCAACGTCGGCGACCAGATCTACGATTGATTATCTCTTCTGCTACAATTGAGGCTAAAACGATGTCAACTTTCTTCCAAACCAGGTTTTACTTAAAGGCCTAGTGTCATGTATCAACTATTGTGTTAT